TTTCTTTCGTTGCATTAATTCTTTTTTTTTTTTTTTTTTTGTAGGTTTGTTTTTTGCTTAAGATTGGAAGTTCAAGATCTTGATCTTGTCTTTTTGATAATTGTCTTTTTTTTTTTCTTGTTTTATTTTTTTTTTTAGTTTTTTTTCTTGTTTTTTTTTTTTTTTTTTAGTTAATGCGCTTAAGGAGTAGTTTACAAAAAATCTAAATGATCAATGGCTTAGAGATGGAGTATTCTATCAATTTTGATTTGTTAAACAGTTCTGAGATCAAGAAGAATTTGATCAATGAAAGACTACTCTTCTGGATGCAAGGAAGCTTCAGGCTGCCATTGGAATTACAAACTTAGTAGTTGCAAAGACTATCGCATCTTATTTTTAAAAGTATTGGTTTGGTGATTGGGTTGGTTAGTATAATTTTATTTTTTTGTATTTTGTTTACATTATATTAATACTATAACAGATACATGGCCAGATTACAAATGTAATGATTGTCCTATGAAAACGAATATGTTGTTAAAAAGCTATTTTAAAAAGGATATGATACTACACTATTGAGGAAGATACACCAAATCTTTACATTCAAACCTCAAAAAAATAGGTACATCAATACGCGTAGATAGTAGAGAAATTGAAAGGTAAATTCTAAGTTTTTTTTAAATTTATATAATATAAAATATTTTTGTTTATGAAAGTTTTGGCGGTGAGAAGGTAAACCTCCTACAACCTCAAAATTGCAACGAGAAAGAAAAAAAGTAAATACAATAAGAGAACTATTATATAAAAAGAACCTTGTTCAAGGTAATATATTTGTGCTGAATATTTATATATTAGATTCATACAATATCTTAATTCTTAAAATTTATTATAAGTCTGTATATAAAAATAGTAAATTACCACTGTATAGTATTGTCTTCAGTACCTGTTAATAAATTATCTCTCTTGTACAGTACCAGGATATTATTCAACTACAAATGTCAACATTTTTTGAATAGTATCCCTTATAAGTCATATTATTAAATAGCATTTCTTCTTGTTTATTACTCACCTCTTCACATAATATCCCAGGTACTAGTGTTTGATATTTAATGTTTTCAAAAACATTTTTATAATTCGTTTTTTTTTTTTTATCATTAAGAACATTAAAATGTTCACAAGAACAAAATTATCAATTCATGTTCAATTTATATTCTCAAAATTTTAAGATATATAATGCTGCTGGATACTATTTAAGCTAATTTGATTTTTGAATAAGAGCAAAATACTATAGGCAATGCTATACAGTATATCCTATAGGAACTGTCAATTTGGATTGTATTATGTTTTTTAATTGTGTATTTATGTTTGCAATAATTTATTTTTTAAAACCAGAAATTGACCAGGATACTTGGATTGTGTCTCGGTTCTATACGAATGCTAATACTCAGTATGAACTAGATGTTAATGAAGAGAACTCTCAGCATAATACCACTGAACTAGATGTTAATAAAGAAAACTCCCAGTATGATCCTGCTGAACTAGATAATGAAGAAAACTTAATTGACAAGTGTGATATCAAGCAAACTAAAACATTATGTGTTATACATAGAAGTGGGAAATTTGCTTGCTCATATAGTTTTTATATAATCTGTGGTCACGACTATCAGGATATTGTAGCTGTTTGGTTATTTATTGATAAGTTTGAATTACAAAAGTAAATATTGTTTATTTGGTTTTACAACTTCTTTCTATATATTAATATTTCTAACTCTTTTTACAATAACATCTTTAATTCTAAACCCAAGCTACAATGGTAAAAAAAAAATCTTGTTATATAATAAATACATAAGAAACAATTATCAATAGCATAGAGAGTAAGGTTCGAGGCACAAATACATAGGTATGCCTTAACTCAGGGCATTTGTAATAGCATATTTTAACTTAGGGCATACCTGTAAAAGCATGTCTATAGAGGCATATTTAATTCTTACCTGTGCCTCGAACCTTAATAGAGAGTATAATATATATATTACGATATTAAGAATAAGTATTGTAATGGATATGTATAATATATATGTTCATAAGGCCGTATTTAACCTAGTAATTATAGCCTAAAATTAGATCCAAATATGAATATTTTAACTAGACTGCGCTGTAAATAAGAACTTTCGTATTGTACAATTAATCTAATACTATACTAAAAATCATCTTGCTTTGTTTTACACTCTGCATAAGTCTGTAGATGAATCAGTTGCAAGCAGTTCTCTCGAATCCTATCTTCGTCAAAAAGAAGCTAATAGTTACAAGAAGGATGAACTCAAACTACCTAAAAAAAGAGGTCCTAAAAATAAAAGAAAAAGTCGATTAGTGCTGGGTGAATCTATTCATCTTCAAGATACAATTTTAAATATGCCTTACAAAACTGTAAAAATTGTTGAAATTATTGGTGAGAACAGAGTTATTGTAGATGTTATCTTTGAAAATAGTAATACAGATCGATGCATAGTTCAAATGGCTGATATAATCGGGTATGCCGATGAACAAGCGAAAAAAAAATCAAAGGTAGATTGATTTTGTATTTATTTATTTATTTTTTTTCTTTTTTATAAAATTCCTCGGTATTAATTACTTGAGATGTCTAGTAAGAGGCATCCAAGACGATCTCCAAACCCGGGTCATGTGATTTACACAATGGCTGTAGCATTGATAATTTCGCTTTCTTTTTTTGTTAAGCTGGCAAATAATATGCTACAGCTATGGGCAGACCTAGGTTTTGTGATCACCTTGTCAGAGGTCAAGTAACGTTATTAAATGTTCCCTTATGAATTAATATTAGGTGAAGCCCTTACCATCATCTAAGGATTCTTATGATAACATTGTTGTCTTTACAATGCCATATGGAGGAAAGAAAGATACATTATATTTAACCTCCACATGTCTGGTGGATACAAGTCTTACTCTTATACAAAGTGCTTTTACTCATCAAAATATTTATAAACAAGCTACAGCTTTTGCATTATCTTATCTAAATTCACATATTTATCTTCTTCTTCAAGTTTTTGATTTAATGAAACAGAAAAAATGGATGGAGGCTAAGTTTCTTTAAATTAAAAACTTGCTATTATACACAGAATTAGCGAAAACTGATAAAATAGATTTATTTGGGGGACTTTCAGAATGGTTTTTTGAACAATTTTTTCATAATTCTTTAGACCGAAATCTTCTTGTCGTCAAAAGTAAAATAGCATCTATATGTGATTCGAACTACTGCCTGAAAAAAGCTTTGCATTCAGCAAATTCTTATAATATTATACTTACGTAACTACTTAATATTTTTATTTTGTGTCATTTTGGTTTATTAATTTAACCTTCGTATTAATTTAATATTTAACCTTTTTTTATTTATTTATTTATTGTTTTTGTCTATTCGTCATTGAACATTTTACAAAATCCAATTATCTTTCATAAATATATAGAAAACTGCAAATACCTATGTTACAAGAAAGTAACTACTTCAAAACATGTCTTAACAATTGGCAAGAGCCTTGTATTGTCCCATGTGAGGCAGAATTCAAAACCATGGATGAAAAAGAATCAATAAATATTTCTGAAAATGCTTTTAAAATTGATAAATATGCCTCAATAGAGACTGAAAATGTAAAGTTAAGTGGTTATTTTTATCTTTATTTAGAACATAATGTAATACATTATATATATATATATATTTTGTTTATTAGCAACTAAAGTCATCAATTCGAAATCATTCATTATATTATTATCGACTGCACTAATATTATCCAACCAATTTGGCGTACCACCTCTTTTTACTTTCTAATTTTTTTAGACTTTTATATCTATATGCTGGCAAGGTTAAATCAACGAAACATATTAATCAGCGGCTGCTCTTAATTCTTGTAATCAATGTTACAGGCATTAGTATTACTGACAAGGGAACATATCTTGAAAATAAAGATCTTCCAGAAGAAATTAATTTTCCTTTGGAAGATATAAATATAAAACAGAGGTAAAAGTTGTTATTAGTTTTTATTCTATTTATCAACTTTATAAATGCTTTTTTATACTACTTATTTAGATATCATCTTATGGGAGTTTTTTTTTGTGATGATAACCACCACATTGCAGATGTCTGCCTTGAGAATGTTAAAAATATTGGGTGATATCAATATAATGGATTAGGAAAAACATATTGCTTAAGGGCAATGTATATAGGAAGTTCACGTCCACCTTACAAAAATAACTACGTCATAGATTATGTACTTTACAGTATATAAAGATTTAAAGGATTTTTGTCTTGCGTTTTGTCTTTTAATTGTGAGTCACTAAAGCCTTAATATGTGATTTTAGAATTAAATATTATTCTTAAACTCTAATAACTATACTTTATTGATCAGAATAATGAAAAATGTTGCTGAAGGCAGAAGCAAAAAAGGCAATATTGAAAAATTTTACCAATAGAATTTTTGAAGATGAAAAATAAATACTTCTAAAGACAAAAAAAAGGGATTCTAAACAGTATTTCAGATCCATTAAAAGTAGTAATTTTGTTGGATATTGCTGTTATACATTAATAGTTTATTTATAATCTAAATATCAGAAAAGCTTTTACATAAAATTTAAAATAGAAAATAATGCCTTTAAACTAATCACCAAACTACTTACTACTGACCTGAGACAATCCATGAGTTCATAATTTAGGAAATTCAATCTTCATTATAGTACCCTTTCCTGGGATTAATATCAGAATGGGTGCTATTCAATAAATTTAGGTTTATTGAATAGTACCAAGAGTACTATAGTCAGTGTCACACGTTGATTTATTATAGTTTTTCTGTGTCATACGCACTATTCAATAATTATGCCTATTTATTTATTATAAATCATATTGAGTCGAAACTGGTTATAATATATTGATTATCCAGGAAACTCATAACTAGAGATCAGACTTGGTATAAAAATTTAAGCACCAAGATCTGGCTAATCCGGTTGTCATATTGTATAAGAATTAACGATCTAACATTAATACTACTAGCTTGGCATCTACTTTTTATAAATAAATTAAAAATGTTATAATATAGTTTCAAAACTGCATTACTTATAAGTTATAGAATTAAACTTATTTTGCTATGTAGAACTATTTGCTGCACTATGATAATAAATCATTTATATATATAGTATTCTATAAATTTACTAATTGAGAGTTGGAAACCTAAAAATTATAAGTAAATAAAAAATAAAACATTTGAACTTATTAGATTCTAATTTCCTAGTTTAAATACTATCTGCAAATGACTACTTATTTTATTAAATGTGACATTTTATAGTTTTTTTATTTAATTCTTGTTTTAATTTAGTTTAAGCATAGCAATTATTTGTACAGTATTATCATACCTCTCATATAAGCTACTTAAATATCATTTTAATTTTTGCTTATTTACATCAATCAAAGTATTCAAGATACACTGTTTATTTCTCATTTAATGGGTTTCAAATTCAAATTAAAGAATCTTATTTAATTTTTCTGATTTATAATTCAATATAGTAAAGATGCTATCTAAATATCCTACTTACTGTATTTCGAAATGCACTACTTATTTATTAATTTTGAAACCCCAATGTTTATTCGCATTTATTTAGTTTGTGAAATCCTTATTAATGTACTTTAAAATAATTTTTTATTGACTCAAGATAAACTATTCATTTATTATTTCTTATTGACATTTAACTATAGTAATCATTTATTTAATCAAAACATTTTAAATTAATTTATTCAAGTTCATAAGCTAGCATTATATTTTAGTAAATTATATCTTAAATTTAAAAAAAAAATAGAAACTTAGATTAATTAGAGGATCATTTTTACTGGTCTTAAGTAATCTTATAAATTTTTACCAGGGTAACTCTTATGTGGGTCTATTTGATATATTTGATGGTCCTTGATAAAGATAATGAAAACTAATTAGTAACTTATTTTTTGTTAAACGAATCATATAAACAATAAGATAAAACTATTAAGATACGTATATATAAAGCAAATCTTTTTTGTGAACTAATGCTATCTGTTACAAAATTCTTCATCAAATGGTTCATCATCGAAAGGTTTTTGTCCAGTTGGCATTTCTTCTATAAAAATTCTGAAGCCATCAGTAGTTTCCATAATTGGCTGATCTTGTAAAACCTAGGAGCAACATATAGTAAAACCCCTATAAACACGATTCTCCGTCTTTTTTTTGGACAATCTTGTGTTTATATTAATATTTCTGAGTTGCAAAATATCGCTGCTAATGAAAGTCTACATGTATCCTGCATTATAAATACTATATAAATCTTTTGAATTATATAAAATTTATTAGTTCAACATGTGTTTAATAAATTGCATAATTTAACTCTTAAAAAATTATGAGGATTTCATTAGAACCAGACAAGATCTTGAATATAACAATACCAGAATAAGTTTATATGTGAGGCATCATGCTTCTTTCAAATACCATCCAACCAGGTTGCGAAATATACGAAACCAAATCCTTTATCGATATTGTCTGGTTTATCAGATGATATTCATTCAACATATAATCACGTGAATTAGTTCAAAGTTAAATCTTTTTACACAATTATCGAGCTGCTTGCTTCACTTATTCATCCTGAATCATTATATGTGAAACCATGCTACTTTCAAATATAATCCAACTAGATTGCGGAATATACAGAACAAAATCATTAATTTTTTTAACATCGCTAATTTATCAGATGAGATTTATTCAATAATGCAATCACAAATTAGTTCAAAGTTGAAATCTTTTGATACAATCATTGATCTCCTTGTTTCTACTTGTCCATTATTATGCCATCCAACCGGGCTGCAGAATATACAGATCCAAATCCTCCTTCACTAATTTTTTGATATTATCTAGTCTATTAGATGAGATTCATTCAATAATGCAATTAAATGTACTAATTCTAAGTTGAAACCTCTTCTCACAATTACCGGCCTTTTGTTTCTACCTGTCTATCTTCAAGATTACACCATGTTTATGTGCATTATCTATATAAGTGCTGCCAAGGCAAAACTATAAGCAAATTTTGAGGTATCAATAAGGAGAAAAAATTGTGATATTGCGTCATTTAACAAGACTTAGAATTTAAGTTTGGTTAAATAATGACAAGTATATATGATATAGAAATAACCAGAACGCTTATTGTATATAATGATATAATTCACAATTTTCCCAGAGTTAAACTCACCTTATTGATACCTCAAAATTGGCTTACAGATTTGTTTTGGCAGCACTTATATATATTGAATTTGTTAAAGTGCTTGCCCAGGTGTTATGCACAAAAACCTGCTAAATTTTTTATAATTACTCAAAAAAGGATTGTATATAGTAAATACCAATCTTGTTTTGCTTATATTAGTAGAAGTTAATAAAGTATTATAAAATACTTTTCTTAGATCTGTAGCTCTTGGTATAATGCCGCATCCTTGTATAGAGATTTCTCTCTAAACGCACCCAAAGAGACTGAACTTTTAACAATATACATTAAAAAAAATGATAAGAAAAAGTGCATTAATGGAAGTTTAGTATATACTTGGCTCAAAATTTGGAAATTTAGAAACGCATTAGAGATTTAGAGGGAGAAAACGAGATTATCAAACTGTTAATCAAAAATTTTGTTAGTATTTAATGGATTTCACCTAGAAAAAAGCAGATTTTATAAATAAATAAAAAAAAAAAAGCAAAGTTTATCTAAGTAAAAGCAAAGTTTATCTAAATAAAAGCGGTTTTTACATAGCAAAATAAAGAAAAAGCAGATTTTATCTTAAACATATCTGATAAAAAGCAGGTTTTACATATTTTAAATAATGAATGTAGATTTTATATTGCAATTTCGGGTTTCACATGATCTAACCAATCAACGCGGATTTTACTAGCTAGCTGCATAGGTTTCACCCTGTTGTATTGATATTATTAGCTTGTTAATATTAGGTTTTACATCTCACAGTTAGTCCTGCTAAATTAGTTTCAATCTTATAGTCATCAGAAATCTGATAACTTATTTTGCAAGTAAATTTTGAAATGGGTGGATAATAACTAAGTTTAATTACTTTATAAATTTTTTAAAAATTTTTGCTACCTGTTCTATACATAGCTCTAATATATAGAAAATTATTATAAAATATACACTTATTCTTATAAGTTGATAAGTCTTGTAGCAAAATTTCTACAATATAAATATTTATTAATTTATTGTAATATATAAAATATACATATTCATAATAAATATATTGTAAACTAATCTTCACTTTTCAAACTTTGTTTACTTAGATTAAGATTTAAAAAAGTTGACATAATGTCTTTACAAATTGTTTCTGATATTATATATTTTTTTTTGATCTAATTTGACTAAATTGAAGATTCAAAGAGCTAGTGTTCTTGCAAAAAGTATCAGCTAATGCTTTTTCTTTTTTAGATCCAAGTTCATTTGAAGTTATATTAACTAGTATATTTTGGTTTGTATTTATACTATGTTAGAATTTTTTCTGAACTTTTTCAGAATAAAAAACATGTTTATGATTGGGTATTCGTAAATTTTGGGCAGTTTTGCAACTTTTTACTTTATTCTCATCATAAAATATTTCAGGTATAAGTGGGGTTTAAAGATAATCTTATTATATATTAGGTACATAAATACATATATAATAATGATAATGATAATGTAATACAAATGTGATATAAACAATTTAATTATCCAATTAAATTAATTATGTGATTTTTAGTTTAATTACCATTTGATTCCCATTTGATAACTATTATTATAAAAGAAAATAATTCAATCTACTATCCAATAAAAATTGTTTATTTTTATATCTTATCACAATATTATCACATTTAGATTTATATACACAATATCTGTTTATATGAAATTTTTTGTTAATCCAACTTGGATTGCTTAAATTACAGCTGTTCTGACAAATTTGGCAAAAGTTGACCAACTAAATATTTGCCAATTC